ACCCTTTAGCCAGCGTGTGGGAGAGACAGCTGCGAATCAGCATCACTCTCAGGACCATTCAGATCCTCCTCACTGGAAGCCACAGAGCAAGAGAGTTGTCCTAAAACAGCTGAGCAGTGGCTTGCTACTTGTGACTGGACCTGTGATCCTCAATCAAGTGCCACTGCTAGAACACACCAGAAATTTGTCATCACCACTTCCACGAAAACTGATACTAGCAAAGTAAAAACTCCCCAAACACCTCACTGATGCCTACTTCAAGAAGCTGCAGAAGTCCTGCACCAGGAAGGTGAGATCTTCACCAAAGAGGAGAATTAGGAGATTAAAGAGCAGCACAAAGTTGATCAGAAAGCTGTGGACTGGGACCAGCAGTTAGCGTAATGGCTATGTTGCTGAACTCCCACATGGTCGACGGCGGTTTGAGTCCTGGACCCAGTGGCTTAAACTCACGCCGGGCGCGTGTGCGTGCGTGCCCAAGATCCCGAGAGGAGAATGAAGGAGAAGGGATTGCGGCGTGGCCACCCCCCCTGGGGGGTGATTTCTCGCTTTCTGTCTCTGTCTCTCTCTGTCTGTCTGGCGAGTACACGTGCCCTATAGCAAAAACCTCTTAAAGAAAAAAAAAAAGCTGTGGACTTGCAAATTCTACCAAAAATCAAAGCTGTTCCTCAACTCCAGGGCTGCCAGGCACAAAGTACACTCTCTCTGGCGAGTGTACATCTCCTCTGACAATTATTTTTTTTATAAATTATTTTAAAAATGGGGCCAGAAGATAACATAATGGCTACATTGCTGGACTCCCAAATGGCCAACTGTAGTTCAAGCCCTGGTCCTGGAGGCTTGAAATTCATGTCAGGCACGTATGCTTGTGTGCCTCAAATCCCAAGAGGAGAGTGGAGAAGAGATTGAGGAGTGGCTTTGCCCCCGGGGGGGGAGTGATTTCTTGCTGTCTATCTCTCTCTCTGTCCCTTGAGTAAGCATAGGCATCCTATAGCAAAAAAAAAAAAAAAAAAAAAACAAAAAAAAAAAAAACTCTCTTAGAAAAAAAAAAAGAAAAAGAAAAAGAAACTGGGGCAGGCATGGTGGTTAAAGGTGATGGATTCCCACATGGCCAACTGCAGTTCAAGTCCTGGGCCTGAGACTTGCTTTCTCGTTTTCCCTTTCTCTCTTTCTCTGTCTCTGGTCAAATTTAAAAAACAATAACAAATGGAATTAAATAAACAAATGATTCTTTTAAAAAATTATAAGAAAATAATGTGAGACCAGCAAGTGGTGTAGTGGTTAAGGTGCTGGATTTCCACATGCCCGACCACACTTCGAGTCCCAGACTGGCAACTTGAAAATCACACCAGGTGTGTGTGTGTGTGTGTGTGTGTGTGTGTGTGTGTGCGCCCAAAATCCTAGAAGGGAGTTGTGGTGTGTCCATCCCCTATGGGGGGGTGAATTCTCACTTTCCCTTTCTTTGTCTCTCTCAAGTAAGTATATGGGCCCTATGGCAAAAACCTTTAAAAAATATGTAGTAAAGTATATGTGTGTGTATGTATGTACCTTTATATGTGTGTGTAGAAAATAAAGAAGTTATATTATATATATATATTTTTTTTTTAAATAATACTTTTAGAAACATAAATAAGGAAGTGGATATAATCATTGCCTCTGGGGAGTCAATTAAATTAGGGTCAGCTCTGGTGGTTGTTTTTTTCATCTCAGCTTCCCTGTTAGAATCACCTGGGTGTTCAGCTACAGGGGTCACTATTCATATTATATTTAACTGGAGAAAGTGTCATTCACAGAAAATACAATGTGAATGGTGCAATGCTGAGCACCATTCACAAAATATGCAATGTGAATGGTGCCTCCTGGTGCCTTGCTTAGCAAGGTGCCAGAGCTGAGGACTCAGGAAATGTCTGTTGAGTGAGTGAATTAGTGGGTTTAATGTTACTTCTTGTTCATTCAACCCTCCAGGAAAAAAGGAAAAGTTAACCAGAGGTGAAAAGGATGGGGGAGGAGGAAAGGCAATTATTAGCTATAAAGCTTCCATGCTTCAGTGGGTTTGAGAGCTCAGTGAGATTGGGAGTTAGTGGGTGCTAATGGTTAGTGCAGGGGTCCTGTGGGTGGTGGCTACTAAAGAATCCTACTCCTCAAGGTCTTCATTTTCATTGGAATTTTACATCTCTATCTCTGTGTGGAACCACGCTGGGATTTGACTGTCCTAGATTTGCCACCCAGTGAGTTCTTAAATTGAATTACATCGTGTGTGTGCTTTTTTTTTTTTTTTAAGTGGAAAAAAAAAAAGGGCATTTAGCGCCTAGGCTGAGCAGAGAGCCTTGCTACCGCTGGAGGCTGAGAGGGGAAGAGGACAGCAGAGGTCCCGCCTTGCTGAGAAAACAGATCATTGTTATATCACCCTCGAGGTGTGTTAACCATCGCCATGAGGAGGCGGTGTTTAAACTGAGAAGAGAGAGTTGGGTGATATAGACAGAAAAAAGTCAAGAAACCTGAGAGGCATGGCCTTTTGAAGTGGGTCTAGAGCAACGGAGTGACAGTGGGCAGGGGCCAGATCAGGGCTTGCGGAGTTCGGATTTTATCCTGAGAGTAACTGGGAGCCAGCAACGAATTTAAGGAAGGCGACATGATCAAATTTGAAACTTTGAAAATGGAGCGCAAACTGGAGAGGGCAGAACTAGAGGCAGGGAGATCCAGTAAGAGGCTACTGCGGCTGTCGACAAACGATGATGTCTTTGATCGGGGTGGTGCCGAAAGAGATGGCGAGGAGTGGACAGGTCGAGGTGCATTCAGGAAATAAAATCCGACAGGACTCACAGAAAAACGGCTCTACAGCAAATAAAAAGACTCTGGAAGAGAAACCAAAACCCCAATTAGTTTTGCTCCTGAACCCTACAGGTGTCCCCCTTTCCGCCTATGACTATATAGAGACAGCAGTAGGCGGAGCAATCGCCCACAAAAATCCGGGAACTTATATTTAAACTGGGTGAACGTCAGCCGAGAGAAGAATACTGAACACAGGTACTTCCGTTTACTCCGGAAGGGGAGGTTTTGCACGCTCCTAAGCTCCTCCCCCTCCGGCGAGCCTGGGTGACGGGATGGCGGGGCGGACGGCGCGGCTTGTGCT